GAAACCGACTCTTTATGCTGTGGTAGAAGTACCGCCGGTCGTCGAATGTCGAGTGAGCGCGGGTGCTTTTGCATTTGACCTATGACTATTCCCTTCGTATAGATGCGATATTAGAAATTAGAAAGTAAGTGTGCATGTTTTTAACAAAAAATAGTTCAAATTCCATTATTTAAGTGGCCTTGGCACGCTTTAAAAGTGTTTAAGTTTAATGACACGGTTTGTTTTTACTTTTTAGGCGCGTTTGTTAATATTTTTGTTTTCTTTTTGTGCAATAATAATAATATCTTTAGTAAAATAAGAACTAAATACAATTGTATATGTTAGTGTTAATAATAATAATTGTACAGTAATTAGTGTAAGTAACCAAGTGTAAAAATAATACTAAAACTTTATGTGATAGTATTCAAAAATATCTCGAAGTAATGTCAGTGTACTTTGGGACTTTTTTAAAAAGATACTACAACCATGAAGGCCAATATTCTATAAAAATATCAATACATGTATTCATTTGATTTATTACATAAAAATGTAGGCTTGAGATGTCTAAAAATAAGCATATTAATAATTATTTGCTATAAAATCAAACTTATATCCAATATTTTATTCTGAATTTGTGGGTGAATTTATCATAATCATAATTATTAAATAAATCGTTTGCCGTTAAATCTTTTCAAGTGATATTTTTATCAAACCGTGCGAAATGATTAAACAAATAAATAAATTTAACCATTAAGGGGAAATATAACCTCAAATGGCTTAGCAAGATCCTCCGTTATGCCGAAAGTATTGCAGCATTAATTTTGAAATAAATATATGATAAAGTTGAGGATTAATGTTAAGGTTTATGTTAGACGAAAACACGATTCCGTAAAATTTTCTCGATAGAAAAAAAAATCCAAAGTTACCTCCAAACTGAACAATAAACCGCTGTTATTCATAAAATACTTTAAATAAGATCATGAAACTTTGCATACTAACTGAACTAACCATAAAGCAGTGCTTATGTTATTTACTTTTTTTAAAATATCGTTATTTTCACTGTAAAAAGAAATTACCTAAACTATCGGCGCGTAAGCTTGGTTCCTGCGGAGCGACAGGAATCGTGTTTTCGTCTAACATAAACCTTAACATTAATCCTCAACTTTACCATATATTTATTTCAAAATTAATGCTGCAATACTTTCGGCATAACGGAGGATCTTGCTAAGCCATTTGAGGTTATATTTCCCCTTAACACCATGTCTAATTCTATACGAAACGGTAACAAACAATTTTCTCGTGAAATGGACATCGTTTCACTCGCAACGTTTTTCAGTTAAACACGTCGTGAAACACTCTATTGAAGCCGCTAATAAAATAGAGTGTTTCAAAACCCTCTAATAAAATAGAGTTTCAAAACCCATTAAATAAAATAGAGTGTTTCAAAAGCCGCTATTGATATTCGATAGATAGTTTCGTTTCGTTACTCAAAAAAGCCGATACTTCCCACCGCTACCCATCGCCAGTCGATAAACCTATGTTTACATATATATTCAATAATAAGCCCCTAGCACATGTATGCTGATGGCTTTCACAAAAAGTATTAAACGAGCTATACAGCCCACCTGATGGTACCGTTGCACTGGCTTCCACACAACTAGTGTCGCGTGAACTGGTCACATAATATCGCGTTTTGCTATACTAGTGGCGCCATCTAGCGACTGCTAACTAAAATGGAATGCGTGCATACTAGACACGGCGTTAATCGTAGTACATTTAAATCGATGGCGTTAATGGTTAAATTTATTTATTTATTTGTTAAAAGTTATTTATTAATTTTTTACAGATAAAATTAACAATTAAAAATGTTACTTACCTTTGTAGTGAATTTTTATTTTTAATCGCTAAAATTTTCGCATGAAATTTTTATTTATTTTATTATTGATTATTAGGTATTTATTTTACTAAATGTAAAAAAATTACTAATTTTTCAAAATGGTCCCACAGCCGTGTGTTACGTTTCGGCATGATAAAAGGTGAAAATTAAACTCTAACTAAAATCTTATATTTTTGTACACTACACTAAATAATATAAAAACTAATTTCACTAAATCTTAGTTAACATCCCTAGTAATTATTTTTACGTTTTATATATTCTTTAGTCTATTGATATCCCAAATCCGTTGTAATATTTTGAGGAAAAAGTAAACTCCTAATAAAATAATAATGAACTGACGCTCTTCATTTAAATTAACAACCAATATTTCAGCCAATAGCGTAACAACAAAATACATAAAATTAACATCAACCACTAACGTCCAATAGCGTTACCCATGTAAGTTAAAAATATAATTTGTACGGTTTAATAAAATTAACGCTTCAAAAGATTTAACTGCGAACGATTTATTATTTAATAATATGATAATTTTCAACCACAAGTGCAGCATAAAATATGAGATATTAGTTTAAATTAATAGCAAATAATTGTTACAATACTTTTTTGAATGTGAAGCCTAAATTTTAATGTAATAAACCGAGAGAATACATGTATTGATGTTTTTAAAGAATATTTCCTTTAGTCCATCAGTATATAAAATTGTAATGTCGCCATCTACTTCATTCTATAGGTGAAGTCATTTTATCGAACGAAAATTGATTGACTCTCACGGTGGTACGTAAAGAATACGCGAGATGGGACAAACACTGCTATCGGATAATTTAATATTAATCGGTAAGGTAAGAAATCGATCGAGGATTGTTTTGAATGGACTGGATAATTTTATTCATTATGGTTAATTTTATTTATTTAATAAATTTGTTAATTTTTTAATCGTTTATTTTAACAGTTAAAAGATATATTCATTATCATTACAGCCCTTCACAAGTTCACTGCTGAACATAGGCCTCCCCCAAGTAATGCCACAAAGCACGGTCCTGAGCCACCTGCATCCATCGACTTCCTGCATGTCTTACCAGGTCGTCACTCCATCTAGTGGGGGGTCGCCCTACACTTCGCCTACCCGATACGAGGCTGCCACTCGTGAACCTTTCTTCCAGGTTATCGGTTCTTCGAGTTATATGGCCGGCCCATTGCCACTTCAGCTTACTAATCCGTTGGATTATGTCGGTCACTCTGGTTTTACTGCGGATATCCTCACTTCTGAGTCTATTAAAAGATATATTAACCATCTTTAATATAGTCACCTTGCAGCTACATTATGGTTGTAACGGGGATGGGTCGGCTCGACCGGAGAAGGGGCATGCTGTCACAGAATACCGTCTTAAAATAGATAAGGTCTGCGCATCTTAAAGGAATTTGTTCTAAAAGCGTATACATTGCCCCATGAAGGAATTACTGACTGTTTGGAGTCGAGTAACAGGTATAAATACATTGAGTTATTATGTACTACGTACTAGAGGCGACACTGAATTCAACAACTCTGTTCTACACAACTGCGGTGCATACACCGCACTTTAATCAGTCACTCGCTAGGCGCTTGTAGAGTGTTGTGTTGATTAAAAAAAAAATCTCAATAAAAATATGCCGTCGTGTGTACTTTATATTGCACAAATAATTCAAGAAATGTCAGTAAAAACCAAGGAATTACTTTTCATCGGTTAATAACATACATAATAAATAAAAAAAGTATTATAGATTGATAATAAAACAAATTATTCCTAAGACGCCACCTTGTGTCAGGGAATATAGATTATGAAATGAATATGTTCAGATACGACATTTCTGTGGGTACTTAAGTATAGGACGAATATATTATTATAAACATTTTTTTTTTGCAGAAACATAATAAGTTATTATAATTAGGCTAAATTTTTCGTATTTAAATCTGTGTATTATTCTTAAATTTTATTTTTAGGTTTCCACATCGAAAGTCAAAGTGGAATAAATTTGTCCATTTTTAACTCTCGCGTGCTCAGCATTTATGAACGACTCTTATCCTAATTTAAATAAATATATTTGTAATTTAAATGTTATGTTAATAAGTTTTGTTAAACATACATTTAGTTTGTTTTCTTATATTTGACATAGATACCTTTTAAAATATTCAGATAAAAATATCATTAAAATGTAATTATGATAATTATAATATTATGTATTATTATATTAAATAAGCAAATATAATATACAAAATAAATGACAGAATTTAAATATTTTTCTCGATAAAATTTACCTATTCAACAATACAATCTATTATTACCCACGGATCATTCTACCTATGTTTATTTTATGATAAAAGAAACGAGTCGCGAGAACACAGAGTAGCGCACATTTTTTTGTTTGAAATAGCTGTTCTAGTACGTAAATACATATTACTTCAATGTATAAATAATATATTATTATATATGGTAATATATAACATGCTTCCGGAAAAATTCAAAATAATAAACAAATGGGTATTACTATTATTTATTGCATGAATTTTTATTTCTCTAGTGGCATATATTTTTATTCAATTTGAATTATACTTTCGGTTCTTCGAGCTATATGGCCGGCCCATCGCCACTTCAGCTTACTAATCCGTTGGGCTATGTCGGTCACTCTGGTTTAGGGTTGGTATCTTTTTTTTGAACAAATATAGTATTTTTTCCAAAAAGATGCAAAATAGGAGTCTGAGCAATTTAGATTCATATTAAAATAAATTAACAATTATTTTTTAATGAAATTAATACTTGCTCTTTTTCTTTATTCTTTCAATTCACATTCATGATGGAAAAAAAACGTAATGATTTCTTATTCTAGATTTCCAATCACGGTTAATATAAAAAAGCGCGAAAGTTGAATTAGGGATAAAATATAGTATTTTTCGTACTATATTATTTTCCTATAATATATAGTATAATATACTGAAATATAGGACGATACTATATATTATAGTACGGGTGGCAACCCTGCTCTGCTTCTACTGTGGGTATTCTCGTGTTTAAGTCAGGGAAACCCCGAGCAAATATTAAAATACCGTACCAATGATTCAAAACTAAATCAATTACTGATTGTATTTCAGCGTTCTACACAAGGGTCAGAACAGTCATCAGTGTCCAAGGTGCGGCAAGGTGTACCAGTGGAAGTCCAATCTGGGCAGGCACATGCGGACTCATAAGGTAATATATAGAATAGAATATTTTTTATTTAATATAGATTACAAGTAATTCTTATTCAAAGTCAATATTTTTACCTTTACCACTGGTTCGAAAAAAATCTCTCCTGGGAAGAAACCCAGCGGGACTTTTTTTAAAAATAAATTTTACAATGTCAATGGTCACAAAATATTTACAAAATTTATTTTAGAAACAGCTTGGAAGCGACCACCTCATTCCCAGGGGTTATTATCCACCATGTATTCATTTATATTATAATGATCCTTTTTATACAGTTTTTGTTTATTTAAATATTTAAACTTGGTAATAGAGAGACCTTGTATATTTTGTGGGAGTTTGTTGTAATAGCGTATACATTGCCCCAAGAATGAATTACTGACTCTGTGGAGTCGAGCAACTGGTAGCACCAGCTTGTGTTGGTTGCTAGTGTTTACAGAGTGTATATCACTTTTTTTACTAAAATTACCTTTGTTTTTGTGAACATACATCAAATTTTCATAGATGTACTGAGAGGCCAAAGTTAATATATTTATTTCTTTAAATTTTTTTCTAAGAGACTCGGTTTAAGGTTGTAAATAGCTCTAATGGCCTCTTCTACAAAAAAAAAATAGTTTCTAAATCAGCCAACTTATAATGTTACGTACACGTAAGAACTGGTAAACCTTTGAACTGCCACAAGAGTCCACTATTCTCTTTTTCCACAGTATGTTCAGGTATGGAAAACTGCCTTAGTATTCGACGAAGCAGGGAAATGAGATCATATCTGCTGCCAGTAACGGAGCGCGTACGTAATGTGTAAAAGAGTTATTGCTTGCGTCCACGAGAAAGTTGGCCGTTACTAGTGGTCGTTGCGCGTGTAGTTCAAAAGAGGTTGCTCGCTTTGAAGTTAAAGAGTGCTTGCCAGTAAGAAAAAATGTTTATACGTTTTACGTAAGACGAAATGTTTGCCTTTCAAATTGCACTTTTTTAATTATACGAATTATACCGAAAATTTAATGAAAAATTACAAATAATAATATATCATATATATATATATATATATATATATATATATATATATATATATATATATATATATATATATATATTTAGTACGTATTTATACGTGGTAGAGCCATGCTGCAGTTATATTAGTAGTGGTAGTATAGTTGTAGCACGAATAGGTGGGCTCAACAGGGTAAGGACCACGCTCTTACAGAATACCAGCGTAAAACAGCAGTTAAATGCTTCTGTGTTTCGTATGGTGAGTGTAGAGATCCGGAGACCTTTTTTTACTGGAAACGAAGCATTCCATCTTAGTCCTCACGGGTGACAACGCATCTGCATTTTGATTCGTAATCGAGGATAAATGTAGATGTCTATGGGCCGCAGCAACTACTTACCATCAGGTGGACTGTGTGCTCGTTTGTCACCCTATCCTATAAAAAATATAATAATAATAACTTAGTATTTATTTTCTCTAACATATGATCAGCGCTTTACAATAAATTAAGTAACAGTAAACTTATACAGCTAAATAACAGCTATAAATACCAACTAAATAAGATCTAGGAGGGAGTCTGGTGCCCAAACTAGGTTGCCCTGCGCTATGGGATCACCAGGGCCCTCTGTCAACAGAAGTGATATTGCTGTAAAACTCTTAATAAAAATAATGATTTCTTAAATTTACGCGAACACTACACATTGATTAAAACTACTTTTACGGGTTTTATCACGTTTTGTTTTAATTTTAATAAATAAATAAAACGCGATAAAATCCGTAAAAGTAGTTGTAATCTTTATTAAGATTAAAACGATAGATATTCATAGGTCAATCAAATAAAAAAGAGTCAAAAGGGCTCTGCTTTATCGACGCCATTTTGACAATAGACATTATACTGGTAGTAAATATTTTAGTAGCCGTCTAGTGACGGTTGAGAATATCCACTACCCCATATCTTCCCGTGGGTGTCGTAAGAGGCGACAGAGCGAGACAGGCAGGAGATGGGCAGCAGCATCTTCCTGATAACAGCAACTGTACGACAAAAAACTGCGGTTGCCAACCCGCTCGCCAAGCGTGGCAACTATGGCAAATATCCCCCCATGAGCAACGACACAAATAAACAGCCCCCAGTCCCCGGCGGCCCTGCTATTCCTAGTTACGGTGGCGACCATGGTAACGGCGGGGCAGGGGTTGCTAAGAATCTCCGGTGGAGGTTCGGTTGCCACCTACGACGACTCGACCTGGCAACATATAACGCACGCACCCTGAGGACTGATTAGAAGATACTAGAGCTGGAAGAAGAGGTAGACAAGTTGCGCTGGCATATTATTGGATTATCCGAGGTCCGAAGAGAAGGGGAGGACACGGCAATCCTCGAGTCCGACAACTTGTTCTACCACCGGGAGGGCGACCATCTGTCCCAAGGAGGTGTCGGATTTATCGTCCACAAGTCTCTCGTCAACAACGTTGTAAAGATTGGGAGTGTGTCGACGAGGGTCGCGTACCTGATACTCAGAATCACCAAACGGTATTCGCTGAAGGTCATTCAGGTTTACGCACCAACCTCAGCACATCCCGATAAGGAGGTGGAGGAAATGTATAAGGATATTTCCAGAGCCATGCATTCCTCCAAAACCCACTACACGGTGTTTATGGGAGACTTTAACGCAAAACTAGGCACAAGAGAAGGCGGTGAGCTGAAGTTAGGGAAATTTGGAGTAGGGCAACGGAACCGTAGGGGCCAGCAGCTGGCTGACTTTATGGAGAAAGAGGGACTCTTTATGATGAACTCTTTCTTCCAGAAGCGGCCCCACAGGAAGTGAACCTGGTCGAGCCCCGACGATTCGACAAAAAATGAGATTGACTTCATTATGACGACCAGACGCCAACTGTTCAGTGATGTCTCAGTGATCGCAAGTGTGAAAACCGGCAGCGATCACCGAATGGTCAGAGGCACACTGAACCTAAACGTTAAGTTGGAGAGGTCTCGTCTAATGAAGTCAACGCTCCGTCCCCCTCGTGCTCTAATCTAGAATCCCGAAACTTTTCAGCTCGAGTTACAAAACCACTTTCAGTGCCTAGAGGATTGCAATGCAGTGGACGATATGAATGACAAGCTCGTGGGAACTGTCCATGCGGTCGGAGCTAAGTTCTGCAAGACCCGCCGCAGAAGAACACAAAAACTCTCCGATCACACTCTTAATCTCATGGCTGTTAGACGGAAGATGAGGCTGCAATCGTCAACAGATTTGACAGCATACAGGCAACTGAACAGACAGATCGCCAAATGCATGCGGCAAGACTTACGCAACTTTAATACTGCTCGTATTAAAGAAGCGATCGAGCGGAACCAGGGCTCCAAAGTCTTTGCCAGAGATCTGTCTGCCAGAAAGAGCCAACTGTCGAAGCTGAAGACTGAGTGTGGCAGCATCGTTTCCGAGACACCTGAGATTTGGAGTGAGATTGAGAGGTTCTATGGGCAGCTGTATCTATATGGCATCGTTGGAGCCACACGCAAGTGTGAGTAACGATCCAAGAGCAAGTCTTACCCGACACTGTTCCGATGATATCCCGGACGTCAGTCTGAGCGAGATTAGAATGACTCTCCAACAGACTCGACGACTCCCAGCCTCCCGAACAAGCCGGTTTCCGAAAAGGCTTCAGTACCATAGACCACATACATACCCTGCGGCAGATTGTACAGAAGACCGAAGAGTACAATCTGTCACTTTGCCTGGCGTATGTGGACTATGAGAAAGCCTTTGATTCCGTCGAAATTTGGGCGGTGCTACAGTCCCTTCAGCGGTGCCAAGTTGACTGTCGGTATATCGAAGTGCTGAAGTGTTTGTACAGTAGGGCTACGATGGCTATCCAAATACAGAACCAGAGCTCGAAACCTATCCAACTGCAGAGAGGTGTAAGACAGGGTGACGTTATATCCCCGAAACTCTTCACCGCTGCATTGGAAGACGTTTTCAAGCTACTAGACTGGAAAGGATACGGTATTAACATCAATGGCGAGTACATCACTCACCTTCGATTTACCGACGATATAGTCCTTATGGCAGAATCGCTGGAGGACCTTAGCACTATGCTCAATGACCTCAATGGTGTCTCCCAACAGATAGGTCTTAAGATGAACATGGACAAAACAAAGATCATGTTTAATGTCCATGTCTCACCTATGCCGGTAGTTGTTGGGAGCACTATGCTCGAAGTTGTTGACGAGTACGTTTACCTGGGACAAATAGTCCGACTAGGTAAGTCCAACTTCGACCGAGAGGTCAATCGACGGATTCAACTCGGCTGGGCAGCGTTCGGGAAATTACGACACATCTTCTCGTCAGGTATACCTCAATCTCTGAAAACTAAAGTGTACAACCAGTGCGTGTTGCCAGTGATGACTTACGGATCAGAGACGTGGTCCTTCACTGCTGGCCGTATGAGGACGCTCAAGGTCGCTCAGCGAGCTATGGAGAGGGCTATGCTCGGAGTTTCTCTTCTTGATAGACTCAGAAATGAGGATATCCGCAGTAAAACCAGAGTGACCGACATAGCCCAACGGATTACTAAGCTGAAGTGGTAGTGGGCCGGCCATATAGCTCGAAGAAGCGATAACCGATGGGGAAGAAAGGTTCACGAGTGGCAGCCTCGTACCGGCAGGCGAAGTGAAAGGCGCCGCCCCACTAGATGGAGTAATGACCTGGGAAGACATGCAGGAAATCGATAGATGCAGGTGGCTCAGGACCGTGCTTTGTGGCATTACTTGGGGGAGGCCTATGTTCAGCAGTGGACTTGTGAAGGGCTGTAATGATGAAATATTTTGGTCGGTTTTAGTATGGTGTAGTGTAGTTAGTTTTTTTTAAGTTGATTTTTTTTAAGTGATATTAATGTGTCGGTGGTGTGTATGTGTGTGTTATATATATATATATATATATATATATATAAAACAATATGTTGAAATAGTTGTCTATCTGTAACAACGTTAGAGGTTGCACTAGTGTCAAGATAGTCTAGGTCAGTTTTTAGTAGACTTGCAACTAGCGTTGCCAGGCGTACAGATAAAACCGGACACAGTCAGGCTTTTTGGTTGCGTGTCCGGCAAAATTAGACGGTGTCCGGACTGTCCGGCATTTGTTAGGCTTTTGACCAGAAATGGTCATAGCAAACTTTACATATGATTTATTATACATATGATGCATCATAGCAAACTTTATATCATTTATATCGTCTAACACCAAGTGTAGGAAATACACCTTACAAGCGTATACATTGCCCCCATGAATGAATTGCTAACTCTATAGAATCGAGAAACTGGTATCACTAGCTTGTGTTTGTTCCTAGCGTTATAATTTTTTTTAATTAAAAATACTTTAGTTTTTGTGAACATACATTAAATTTTCGTAAATATACTGAGGGGCCAAAGTTATTATATTTATTTATTTAAATTTTCCACCTGAGAGACTTTTGGTTTTAGTTTGGAAATAGCTCTTAACCTTACGGTGGTTGTCTGAAATACAATAGTAATCCAATGTAAAATAATTTCAAATTTAAATATTTCTGAAACCAAACAAAATTAGATATTATTAGAATGAAAAACAAAATAGAAATAAATACCAAAACTGATTTGTGATCTAACTTTGAAATAGTAGTGTGATATTTTCATATATTAATATTAATATGTAAGTTTATATATATATATATATATATATATATATATATATATATATATATATCTGTTGATATTAGTATTACCGTAAGTTTGCACTGACGCGATTTTCACAAAACATATTTTAAACTCTGTTTTCAGTCAATTTATCAAAAAGCGTTTCCATAGTCAAAGAACATGTTGTAGTGAAATATGTTTGACAGTTTATTGTACATTACATATTTTAACTATATTATATCTTCATAACTACAGAAACAAAATGTTTGAAAACAAATTTGTAGAAATATTGTCACGTTTAAAGATAAGTTTGAATATCTGTTGAAAATTTTACACAGTTTTTGTGAGTGCGAACGCCACCGTCAACAAAACATGTTGTGTGATTTATTTTATGCGATTTGTTTCAAAACATTACGTGTTGGATGTTCTCGGTGCAAACGTACTGTTATAAGGAAACGACTGATTGATATGAATGCGTGAAGTGCACTTATATCGTCTATCTTCAAGTGTGGGAAATAGTTCCTACAACGCTATTACAACAAAGTCCCAGAAAATATACAAGGTCACCCTATTAGCAAGTTTAAATATTTTATTAAACAATTTGTATGCGATGGAGACACGTTGCAGCTATATTATGGTTGTAGACCGGGCAAAATAGCAGCGTAGTGCTGCTGTGATTTGTATGGTGAGTGTAGAGAACCGGAGACCCCTTTTACTGGAAACTAGGCATTCCATATAAGTCCTCAGGGGTGACAACGCATTTGAAGTTTGATTCTTAATCGAAGTTAAATGTAGATGTCTATGGGCCACAGCATCCACTTACCATCAGGTGGACTGTGTGTAACTCTTATACTGTTAAAAAACTGTATAAAAAAGGTTATTATAATATTAATAAATACATGGTTAATAATAACCCAGGGGTTATTAATGAGACGGTCGCTTCCAAGCTGCTTCTAAAATAAACTTTGTAAAATTTGTTTGTTCGTATTTTAACGTTGCCATGCCGTTTATCAAAGTGCGCTAAATATTTGTCAACTTATGCACCGTGCACTCGCGCGAAGGTTTTTTTTAATAGAATAAAGGTGACAAACGAGCACACAGTCCACCTGATTGTAAATGGATGCTGCGGCTCATAGACATCTACATTTACCCTCGATCAAGATTCAAAATGCAGATGCGTTGTCACCCCTGAGGACTACGATGGAATACTTCGTTTTCAGTAAAAAGAGTCTCCGGTTCTCTACATTCACCATACGAAACACAGCTACGTTAAGCTACTATTTGACGCTGGTATTCTGTGAGAGCGTAGTCCTTCCCCGGTCGAGCCGACCCGTTTGTACTACAATATAGCCGCAGCGTGGCTCTACCACGTAAAGAATATGTACTGTGTGCATTAAACTGTATAACTTGACTAATACTTTATGTTTGTGTTCAGGCTCGTGACTCCGGCGAACTCCACTGCGATGTTTGCGACAAGGCGTTCGCTTCTGTGGCCACGTACCGACAGCACCTGCGGATATCCAGGAAACACGTGCCTGAAACTGAATTCAGGTAACATTTACATATACGTTCCGCGATTGCCTCGTTGGTCTAGTGGTTGTAGTAGTGCGACTGCTGATCATGAGGTCCTGGGTTCGAATCCCGGGTCGGGCCAAAAAATTAATTATTGAGTTTTTCCGTCAAGAAATTCTCAGTAGCTGCCCGGAGTCAGGAAGTTGGCGGTGTCTCACCCCTGTGCCGTTGCCGTTGGTCCTGCGCCTGATCTCTCTCCGATCGTGTTGGTTTACCGTCCCATCGGATTATGACAGTGAGGGAATAGAGAGTGCACCTGTGCTTGCGCATACACTTGGGCACTATAATCCTGTCCTGCGCCGATGGCTAGCCTCCGTTGAGGCAGGCCGCCGTGGCCGAAATTCGGTCTGGAGGACATTATTATACATTCCATTAAAATTCATTTAAAATTTCACTAAACTATTGTAAAGTGGTATGTTTAAAAAATATAACCCCGCTGGGTTTCTTGTTGGTTTTTACCAGGACAGAGGTATTTATCGAACTTGTGGTAAATACTTATATAAAAAATTACTTTGATTGAGTATTACGTAATAATCTGTATTGAACTGAATCAAAAATTAGAGATTTTGTACAACAGACTTCAATATAAATATAATTTATTGTTGTTTTTTTTTAAACCGATTTGGATATAATTTAAATTGCGGTTGTATCGATATTAAACGACACAAAAGAATAATTTGATCTTCAATAAAGGTATTTCACTCTGTGACGCATGCCGGGTCAAATGTTAAACGCGCCGTTTCGCTTTCATGCACTGCATGGACTGCACAACCTGGTGACTGTTGATGGTATTGGCAGTGTAGATTCATTGCATTAAAATTCGTTTGGAATTTTACTAAATTATTGTAAAGTGGTATGTTTAAAAATATAATCTCGCTGGATGTTTTGCCGGTTCTTCCCAGGGCATTATCAAACTTTGTACCCATTGAAACAAAAAAAAGAATTTCCAAATCGGTTCAGGCGTCTTCGAGTAATCGGTGAAAAAATAAAAAAAGATTCCCGACGAATTGAGAATCTCCTCATTTTTTGAAGTCGATTGAGAACACGAAAAATGTTTCTACCTATGTCCGTTATTAACTGAAACCATCCAAGCGATTTTGATGAATTTTTTGTGTGTGTGTTTAAATAAGTCCCTAGATGAATTATATTCACATTTTTATTAATTAAAAAAAAAAGATAAAAAATCAATGACACCCGATAGATGGTGCTGTTGTCAACAACTGAACAAAAATCATTGTACTCTATTATATTCTATACATAGAACACCTAATATAGCGGAATAGAAATGCATTTGTATTAATTTACTTGCAGTACCATTGCCGCCGGTTTGCTCTCCACTCCTTGCAGGTAGCTGCCGTACGTTGCGTTGCGAAGTATCGTATAATAAAATGTCCATTGCGTGGTGACTTTAATAATAACGCCTGCTTTTTATTGAATTTCAACAAGCAATGAAAATTAAAATGTTTAAAAACTACATTAAAATAAATCATTGTAGTTTTTCAAGAACTTAAGTGAATTGTTTTTTATACGTGGTAGAGCCGTTGAAGTTACTAGGTTCGATACACACACATATACACGGTCAACAGCGAACACACAGGCCTATTTAATATTTAACGCCTCACTCGTAGAAATCGTTGGCAATTTATAAGAAACATTGTCACTAACGGTTTTTTTCACTACCGTTCCGTTACTGTCCACGCACACTAAAGATTCTGGAAGGTATCATCTGAACGCAACACCATTAATTAATCATACTCAATGACCTCTCTTGTCAATGAAAAACAATGTCATTTAATTTTGAGAAGTTGCGTTTTAAATAAAATTTTGTCTGTTTCTAGTTTCTAGAGTATTATATAAATACATAAAATGGTTACGATTTTACACATTCTTGAACTTATTTTTTTAATTTTTCTACTTTTACGAATATCCGTAGTTTGGTTTATTCATTTTTAATCTAATTAATATTACATACTAACGATCCGCCCGGCTCCGCACGGGTGATTTCTGTATCTCGACAACAGAGCCATCTACCGGGTCCAAATGTGAATATAAACTATCCGGGAACCCACTCAAATCTTTGACTAGAGAAAAAAGAAAGGACATGACATACCTACGAAAAAAACGTGTATACCTAAACTGAGTCTGGCACAAAGATGGTGGCTTGACGTAGTGCTGCGCACTTAATATTGATAATGTGGCGTTTATTTAGAAAAAGATTATTTTGTGTGATTCGTCTCAAACACCCGTGTGTTCTTGATAGTTTTTTTTAAATCAATATGACGGATTTTTGTCGCCAAATTGTTTTACTCAAGCTATCGATAGGGGTATCCAAATAAAATAAATTAAAAGGAGATTACTGAAGTATATATGAGTTATACCTACGTTTTCAGTTCATTACTTTTAAGCAGTCGTTTTTTTTTTGTTTTTATAATGTAACTATCTATTATTAATGTTACAATTATTTTCCGGGAATTACTAAAAAAGAAATAATAATTAAAGAATTTTTTGTTTGTTAGACAATAAATTAGACTCTGTCATAATACTCACACTAATTAAATTATAATAAACGCAAATGTTTAAATGTTTGTTTATTTCTCAATCACGCCAAAAGTATCAGACCAGTTTGAATATAATAATTTGGCACGCAAATAGTTTATTACCTGAATTAACATATAGGATACTTTTTATCCCGATTTAGAGGTCCCGAGGAATAGAATAAGAAATTTCGTAATAATCGAATTCCACGAGAGAAACATATAAAAATAACACACTCCCTCACTAAAGTCGCAATGACAGCTGATATAGTTGTCATTGACTGTGACAGAACATGGCGCCCAGCCGCAGCAAAAAAATTGTTGCCATATTCGGTAATGATAAAAGTACTGTTGTCCTTTTTTACATACGAATATACTCATAAGCTAAAAACAGACGCCGATATTTCGTTACCTTCCTACAACTAACGATCTTTATGTCATGTCCTTTCTTTTTTCATCGAAATCAGTCGAGTCATTTTGGAATTTTAGTAAGAATAATAGACAGCAATTGATTTTTATTTATAGAAATTACCATTATTACGGAGAGAAACGTTCTAACAAATTAACTTCCCCACTATGAGATTTGTCAAATATGCCATCTCGTTTCAATGTGTTATATTTATTTTATAAAATGGACTCATCAATACAAGCGATATACGTTTTTAACTTAGAACAGGAATCAGGCATATGCAGGTAGATAGCAGTACAAATTACTTAAAGCCTCAATCACTAGATGGCGCCATTTCAAAACGCAATATTGTTTGACCAGTTCATACCACAATAGTTGTATGAAATCCTGTACTGCGGCATAGAATATAATAGGTTACGGCATTTACCTACTTTTAATAATATCAAAAACAGTATTACAAAAAGTAGGCAGTAAAACTTTTTCAGTATGTATACGAACAATATTATACATTTTACTACTATAGAAGAGGTATATGTAGAGCTATATATAGCGAATTAGTTCGGATTCAATTTGTAGGTGGCGCTAGTAGTTAAATTTTATCTCAATAATTGTAGAGGCTCTCTTTTCCTGTATATTTATTATTCTTTGGGTTATAGAAATATTCCCATAGCTCTTTTTAATTCTTTTTGTAGGAGCTTCCAGCATGATCATGCTTTAAAACGGCTTTTAAATTTTTGCCTATGTTTATCAAGTGTGAATATATTATAATGAAACCTAGTTAGTAGCACATAATATAAATAAATCGTTTCCTACAATTGCACCAGATCTAGCGCCTAGTGTACTTAGCTGGTTTTGCTGACTATTATGTAAATCAAACATTACTCATTATCTGTGATGATAATATGTTCCTCTAGTTGAGAAGTTGTAGAGCACTAATCCTTTTTTTATTCATAGAAAACCATTAGCATTGTAATGTTAATGGCTTTCACAAAAAGTGTTAAACGAGCTATACAGCTCACCTGATGTTGCCGCTGCTTAGATTTCCAGACAACTAGTGTCGTATGAACTGGTCATTCAATATCGCGTTTTGATATACTAGGGGCGCCATCTAGCGACGTTTTTACGTAACTGTACCACCAGCTAACTGCATAATTAGGCCTCATTCTGTATTCAGAGTTATATAATATTTTTCATTTATTGTTAGTTAAAATAATGTATTTCTTTTTATATTGTTTATTTAATAAATTAATATTATCGTCACCGCGCCAAACTTTTTTTACAACTTTGTGCTAAAAATGGATATTTTGAGATTAGAAGCCTTAGCAACTCATGCATTTATAATAATTCATTTCTTTCTCACCATAAACGGCACGGAAGATACATTAGTGTTACGTCTCTTTAACAATACTATGTCATTCATTGGAGACTGGTGCCCGTATTACAGGTCGCCAGCCCCCCCCCCCCCCCCCCCGAATTTACTTGACAATTAGTATATTATTATACAGAGATCATTTACGTTATGGTTAGAAATAATATTATATAGAGCGATTTTCAGTTTGGATACATAGAAATAAAAAAAATAAATAAAAAATAAAAACCATGTATGTCTGTAGCGTAAGTACGAGAGTGTGTGACTGTTGTATTTCTGTGTGTATGTTTGTGTATATTTATGAGATTATTTGGAGTAATTAGTCAGTGTCTGTATATGAAAGGGTCTGAAGATATTCCACGAGTCTATTCTTACATGACAAATTTTTTTTGGTGTAATTCATTATATAAATACGAACCCAAAACGTGAAGAATTTTCTAGCAAGGCACTGACTGAGCTACCATCATTGTGGCGATGTTGCTTTTGAGTTATTTTTGAAATTGTATGTTGTCTTAAAACTTTTCTACGTGGTAGAGCCATGCTGCAGTTATATTAGTAGTATAGTTGTAGCACGAATGGGTCGGCTCGACCGGGGAAGGACCACGCTCTCACAGAATACCAGCGTGAAATAGTAGCTTAATGCTGCTGTATTTCGTATGGTGAGTGTAGAG